TATAAATTAGTAGTGATTATCCACTGTCCAAAAAGTTCTGCCAAGACAGCCCTTTAAAATCTTTCTTCTGCTTCATTTAACTGTGGTTTCTTTGATGAGCAGCCTAACACAAAACACAGGGCTCCGGTGAGCCTAGAACAAGGCCTGTGCACAGTGGCTCTTAATAGACATTTCTGTATGTGGAGTGAATGCATGAAAGGGTACCGCTTATATGAGTGGACTATATCCCAGAGATGTACCTGTGGAGTCAGCTCTTAGAATGGAGAGTGCACTTCTCCCAAGAAGTCATGCTATAAATTAAAGTTAAATCCCAGGCTAATCCAGGGCTTTATGGAACTCATGGGCATACTTGGGTTTTACCACTGATAATGCCAGTTTAGATTCTACAGTACATGCGTATGCAGGAAGAGAGAAAAAAAAGAACATCTCTCTTCTCCTGAGGGGCATCGTTAGCCAAGAAAAAATGTTTGGAAATGGCATTTAGCCTCTGGCATCCTCCCAAACTTACTTTCTACTTCCTAGTTCCTCTTTCCTTAGTAACCAAAATCCCTAGTTCTGTCATTTTGCTCCAATGGCGGCAAGCCATCCAAATGGACTCTACATTCCAAAGAATTCCATGCACCAAATAAGTGACTTCTTTCTTCTCTCATTCAAAATCTACATTTCTTCAGGGATAGTCACCTCAGTCAAGTGGAGGGGAAGCTAATCTAATTAATTCACACTAACATAGAAAAGAGTTCTATCCACCTATATGTTTTTGCCCCACCAGATGTGTTTAATTAAGAGGGATTTTAGACAGTTTAACAAGATGAAGTTTAAACATTCAGCCTGTGGGAGCTGGTTAAATTTATGAATTATATACTAGCAGAGCAATGGGGCTCAGAGAATAACCATTCAAAGGTACTAGCCATTTATAAGTTGATCATTTGTGAGCTGCAAAAAGAAAGAACATAACAGGGACTTGTCCTCAAGCCAAGCAAAAGAAGGAGGGGAAGTCCACAAGTTTTATTTCAAGACTTGCCCGATTTTCCCCTCGTCAGTACACTTCTTAGAACCTTCCCCCTCTCTCCTTCGGTAAAGAAGGAAATTTGATAGGCTTTTGAGGGTAAATCAACTTGAATGCAAGTTAGGAAAGGCTCCACTCTGTAAGGTGGCCCAGATGGCAGATGGTGCCTTCACAGATGGTCCCATCTGGAGAATATCGGTACTGATTCAACAGAAATGGAGGTAGATATTAAAGCTAGAGTCCTTATCCTGGTACCTTAGAGAGCAGACCCACCCAAGACTACAGGACTTGAGGTCAGTTTGTAATGGGAATTCACTCCATCAAATATCTGAAAATTGTCATCCATTAACCTAACATAATGAAAAGTACTGTAATTTTAATTTAGATAGCTTAATTCAACAGACAACACTGAGTGACTAACTTTTGAGTATTATTTAATTGTATTTAGAAGGAATAACCTTAAAAATTCTAATTAATTTTAATATTATAATTTCTATTGTCAGAAATGCTTTAGCCAATATTTATTGAAAGCCTAGTATGCCCCCTGAAAAGAGAGCTTTTTTTTTCTTTCTGCACGATGGGGAGACTGCAAATTACAAAGAAATATTTAATGTTTACATAAAATCAATAAAAACATGTTTGTATCTACTTTGATGTTGTCAATCAAGTGGAGAGGAAGCTAATATGATTAATTCATACTAACATAGAAAAGAGTTCTATTGCCTCTATGGTTCAATTAGGAGTATGACTTTATAAGCTCGCAGGCTTCGCCCTCCTAGAATTTAACAAAAACAAGTGAAATGAAATTCAGTGATACATTATCCTTCCACACACCAACTCTTTCATTTGGTATTTGATCCCATATCATTAATGAAATGCATCATAAGACAGCAAAAACAGGTGGAAAACAGATACAGTTGTTTTTAGCATAGATGAACTAATAATTACATTTAAAGGTGATCTATTCTTGAAAAAGAATTTAAAAGATGAAATCTTTGCACTACTATAAAACTGGGGTGGGGGAGGGGATTGGTATTTAATAGCAGATTTAGAGGATTTCCATTTAGGTGAAGAAAGAAAGATATAACCAGAAGGAATTGAAGGAATTCAGCATAAGCCTGTATGCCAGAGAAAACCATAGCAGTTGCTCAGAAAGTATTTATTGAAATCCCCTGTTCTACTATTTATGCATGAGCGGTAACCCAGCTAAAACTGTAGCAACGTTGTCGCTCGGTTCCCCCACAAGACAGCCCTTTATTGTTTCAGGCTGAGATTTAGCAGACCAGTTTCAGACCACCAGTCTTTCTCAATTCTTTATCCACAAAACCAAAAAAATTTATTCTGTTCTTTTTAAAGTTTATACACACGCATGCAAAACCAGAAGTTTACGTGTCTAGGCTGCTTTCTCATCGCTTGCATAACTAAAAAATAGGTTTTTATTTAAAAATAGAACTTGGCACATGAATGGGCCATTGGATATTTTAATAAAAATAAATAGCCAAGATACTTAACTTCAAGAAGCATCAACTACCCAGGCATGCTATTCCCTCTTCGGTTTTCTATTTTATCACCTTTGAAAACAGCATGAATTTTCAGGAGACTCATCACATTGGGTAAATTTCAAATTTGTTTTTACTGTGCAGCATAAAGAAATTTATAAGAAATTTTTAAAAATAAGAGACCTTCAATTATTCCATCTATTCAAAATTAATTTTCATTGTTTCCAAAAATCTTGTTTTTGTCTATACATACTTGTACTGTCATAACTGCATTCAGTGTCTCTAGTTTTAAATTGTTTTTCACTTAACCTTCTGTTACCAATATTTCTCATGCTGTTTCAAAGTCAGCATCAGTATCGTAAATAAAAATGTTGATTTTTATGCTATTCTAATCCGGTTTTGGATTAGGACAACATTTACATTTTTAAAACCTGACATACTTCCCGTATTTTTACACGTTCCAGAAAAAAGCATAAAGCATGAGAGTTAATTATTTTTTCAAGGTTTGGGAAAAAATCCAATGACTCTATCAAATCATGTGTTTTGGGAATGGAGTTTACTAAAAACCTTGACTTTTGGGGTGCCTGGGTGGCTCAGTGGGTTAAGCCTCTGCCTTCGGCTCAGGTCATGGTCTCAGGGTCCTGGGATTGAGCCCCACATCGGGCTCTCTGCTCAGTGGGGGGCCTGCTTCCCCCCCCTCTGCCTTTCTCTCTGCCTACTTGTGATCTCTCTCTCTCTCTCTCTTAAATAAATAAATAAATAAAATGTTTTATTAAAAAAAAAAAAAAAAACCTTGACTTTTCCTGAATTAGTGGTGTTTACAACTTTTCTCATTATAATTTTATAATTTAATTTGTGTGGGATAATACCAATTCATTTCATCTACACATTCGCATATAGTATATTGTCAAACAACTGTACATAGTACAGTACCATTTAAAAAATATTTTTAATGACTTGTATTGATTGCTGTACCTCTTCACTACCAATGTTAATCTGGGCCAATTTCTGCTTGTTTCTTTTAGTATTGCTTTCAAAGAGTCAACTCTTTATTTTTCAGCTTTCCATTGTAACTTTTTTGTTTTTATTCTTTTTCCAATTCTCTGTACTTAAATGACTTGACTTCCTATCCTTACCTATCTCTGTAAATAAAATTCATGAAGCTCTGAATTATCTCCAAGTTCTGCTCTGGTCACATTAGCTAAATGTTAGTGTGTAGTTTTAAAATTTTGTTATTAGCTAAATAGTCTTTTATTTTATCTTTTACTTCTTCCTCGGTCCAATTATTATTTACAAGACTAATTTTCTATCTCAGAGCTTTTGGAGTTGTTTTCATAATGGAAGCTGGAAATGCAAACAGAAAATGAGGTTAAGTCTTTAAAACTAGATTTTCTCTGAATCCTCACAGATAATATATCTTATAACCATTTATGGACAGAAAAGTAAGATTTCTAATTAAATAATCTGGAATGTGTATTAAACAGACCAAATTTAAATTCTTTTATAAAGCTCTACTGTTCACATATCAAGCTTCCTACAAGGACTACCTATAACATCATTTGCGTAGTGTTTAGCAAAGGGCCAGCATATTGTAACTACTCCATGAATGAGCGGTGGCAGTACATGTAGTCATCACAGGTTAGTAGTAGTTATGTTGCCCCTACGCCTTATGCAGGCTAAGCTGCACTACTGATCCAGGAAGAGTAACTAGCTATGTGTTCTTGGTCTGGGTTTTCTTATCTATGATATAACATGGCTGGACTAGATACTTTCTGAAGTTATTTCCAGCTCTAACATTTCTAAATTTCCTTTGTTGGCATTTTCAGGACCTGGACTCTATCTACACCAGATGTAGGTCACACATATCCTTTGTTCTGAAGCAACTTGCTCAAAACTCTCTGAAAACTGAAGTGAAGATAGAAATTTTTACCAAACTTACTACTCCATCAGAAGGTTTTGGACAGGCAGAAATCGATTCATTATTTTTGGAATAAAAGTAAAAAATTCAAAGCTATTTATCAGCCCTACTTGTGCTTTCCAGGAATAAAAGTAAAATTTCCAAAGCAATGTAAGCCAGACCTACACTTTCCCTTCACAAGAGCCTTGGCACCCAGGTTAATTTGTGTTCATTTTCCACTGCTATTAGCAATCAAAGAATTTAAGAGAAAAGATGAAATACAAAGTGTTTGCATGGCTGGCTACAATTCACGGCGTTCCTCCTCCAAGAATGTATATCATTGAGATTAAAAATGAGTATTAAGGATGAAAATTCTCATCTTTATTTTTAAGGGTGAAAATCCCCAGTAGACCATCATCTACTAACAAGCACATCTGGTAATTAAAAACAAAAGCTTTCAAATTAAATCTTATGGGCTATCTGTGAATAATCTCATACAAAAGCAATAAAAAGTATGTCTTTATACCTGTTGAAATAGACCCCTTGCTGGGATTTTAGTTCTATTTCAAATAAGGTGTTACGAAAAGCACAGACTTACCTGTACGGTAGACAAAGTTGCCTTCGGTTTCTGATGATGAAGGAGACACCAATTCTTCCTCGAATTCATTGGAACTAAAAGATCCCGAATGGTTTCTTTGCCTTGTCTTTCCCATCATGGCAGCATTTGTGGCCATGACATGTCTCAAAGAGTCGTTAAGGTAACGATTCAATAAGCTGCTCTTGTATTTGGGGGGTGATACATAGTCCTCACTGGCCCGTGACTCTGGCCTGATCACTCCAGCTTTTATGACTGAGCTCTCACTTTTAATCACAGGATGGTGAACTGGATTATTATAGCCCCCTTCATTTATGTGGTTTCTTGGAGGATTTTCTCCATCTAAGGGAGAAAAATATCAGTAGGTAGTACTTACATATACTTTTCCCCAGCCACCAAACTCTTATAGTTAATCATTAAATATATACATAAAGAAGGAATATTTAAAAGTATATAAAATTATCTTTGATACCCAAGATTAATTTTTAGGCAAGGAAGCAGGAATCTATATAATCTCTCCCTATGGTATTTTATTTTTAATGAATTTCACAGAAAATGTTATTCTGACACATGATAAATCTATAAACAAGAGGAAATAGCCATAATTCTGTTGGTCATTTATAGTATTGTAAAAGTGAAGTTACCTCATGCAGTAAAAAAGAACCATTATGGCACCATGATGTTTTTGTGGAGTCGACCTTAAAAATAGCAATTGAGGTGAACTTCTTATTAACAGAGATAAAGCAAAATAAAAATATTAACAAACCTTCAGAACATGAATCATCGCTGCTTACACTAAGCCGCTCAGCGTTTCCTTGAACATACTTGTTGTACAATTTTATTCTTAAAGCCCAGCTTAAATCTGGCTGTCGAACAGTGTTCTTAAGCCGACGTCGTGCATTAGCAAACCAATTTGACACCTAAAAAAGTTTTGTTTTTCAATTAACAAAACATAAAATATTACCCATCACATAATTACTTTCCCACAAGAACCTAAGCCTCTTTCAGTATTTCTGATCGTTAAATATTCTCAGAATGTAATAGTACTAGACGTTCATTCCATTCACTCACTCATTCATTCAACAAACATGTGCACACTTACTACAGAGACTGAGCATATACTATATTCTGGGAATAAAAAAAAAGAACAGCTTTTGCCATCAAATGCTCAGTCTAGTAAGAGAGGAAGGTACAAATAACTTTAATATAGGAAATAATGTGATGAATGGTTTAAGAGGCATTAAAATAAAATGATGCAGGAATCCAAAGGAAGAAAGGGTTACTTTCAAGACTTCATGAGGAATTAAGTGAAGCGTTGAAGGAATGTGTCCAGTATAATGGGTAGGGAAGTGTGTTCCCAATAAAGAAGACATGGGAAAAAATATAAGTCAAACTTGAGAGACACCGTGGTGAGTGAGGAAAAGGGAAAAGTTAAAGATGACCTTGAATCATCCCTGTGTAATCAAGAGAAGGATAGTGCCATTTTGAGAAAGAAAGTAGAACTGTTTAAGGGTGAAATGATGTGCTTGGTTTGGGGAGTGATTAATTTGAGGTACTAGAAAAGCATGCAGGTGAGATGTGCAGCAAGAAAATAAAACTGTTATCTGAGACTTAAGGGAGAGGAAGAGCAGATGTGGGTCAAACACACAGAGGTGATAGCAGCAGCTTTGAGTAGGTAGAAAGAGAGATGATTGAAGACCAAACCCTGGAAACCTCCAGACATCAAAGGGGCAGGACTATAAAAGAGGAGCTAGCAGAACAATCCGACATAGAGCAATCAGACAAGTAGAGGGAGAAAAATGCCAATAACAGCCGGCTTTAAGTTGAAAGTCAAGTGTTTCCAAAGCAAATAGTTGAGGGCAAAGAAACAAACACTGCAAAACAAAGGGAAGTTACTTCATTGTTTTTAAAAGATGTTATTGGATTTCCAGAAGTTAAAATGGTACTTGAGATTTCTTGTAAAATATCAGGCTATCATCAGGAAAAAAAAATATGTAAATAACCTGAGGGGTCAATATTTGCTTTTAAAAGAAATGAAATATGGAAATGAAATGAAATATGGAAAGAGAATTAATTAAATCTTTCTGCCAGTTTATTCTAGAACACGACTCCACATTACTGTAATGGTTTATGTAGCAATGCTTGCATTGGAAGTTTCTTTTTTTCTTCATTTAGGTTGATAATATAAATATAGTTTTTACACATTGCTCAAGAGCTAATTATTGAATGGACCTATGGTGAATCCTACTTTTTAAGAAAACAAAACCACAATTCTTTTCCTCTTTGTCTCCATGGGTTTTTAAAACATGGTAGTTTCCCCCAATTTATACACACACACACACACACAATGTATATATACATACACAGTAAATATATCATATATTATACATATATATACATTCAGTATTCATTATTTCCTAGTACCTTAATAACTGTCCTCTTAATTTTATGTGCATTGATGTAGTAACTCACCATGACATTGCAGAAAATTTAGTCTTTAACAATATCCTCTTCCTATCAAGTTGTGCTATTATAACTACGATTTTAATCTGGGTTCAAATTTTAAGTCTTCTCCAGCCTCTATAGACAGACAACCTCTGGAACTATTCATTCAATAAACATACATTGAGTAGTTCATGTGCTCTAGCCATGACATGACTGTCAGTGCTAAAAATCTTTAAGTGTTAGGATAAACTTTGTCCCTGCCCACAGGGAAGGATTAGCACAGAACTATGTATTAACTGTAATACACTGGTGAACATTCAGTATGGAAGCACGAAATGCCTGGTCCAGTCCTCAAACCTCCCTCTATTCTCCAAGTCATGGCTGAAGTATTCATCCATGTCCTGGATAGTAGTAACTGGGAATTTTAGAACATTTTTTTTCTGAACTTCCTTATCTTCCATTCTATGCACTTGAATGAATCTTAACCACCACCATCATCAAATTCAAGTGTTGATATACCATTATGATTTAATTGCTTAACTTCTTCAAATCCTCATTAGTGTCCTATTACCTATAACTGGTATAATAGAAAGAGATCTGGTTTCCTGTTCTAAATTTGAGAAAAATGCGTGAATTTAGAGAAGTCACTCAACTTTTCTGAACTTCAAGCCCTTCATCTATAAAATGCATTAGGTGGTACCTAAATAACCTTGCCAACTCTAAAAACTAAGATCTGTGAATATAGTCTATGCTCTCCTACAAAATTACTAATTTATTCCCTTTATATAGCTGGTGCTAACCTACCTTCTGCTTTCCAGCAATCAAACATGGGTGTTTATGTCCCCTGACATGCAACTTCTCCTATGCCTATGTCACTTATATTTTTAGAATTCAACTTCAAAACACATTTACTACTTTCTTTACTAAATATCATATAATTCAGGGTATCCTTAAATCATAACTCACCATGAATTTTAGCACAACCATCACATAGTACAGTGTAAAATTCAATTCTTATGGAACCCTTCATATTTTATTAAAATGCAACAGCTTTCAAATTTCCAAAAACATTAACATACCATAATTGTAACTACAAAAATGGGGACCATTAAGTGTCATGGTGGGATTACAGTTTTACATATATAGGGGTCATATCCTTTTTCTTGTTTTATATACTCAGTTCTTACCACAGTATATTAATTACAAATTAGAAAATTTTCCAGAAAGGTTTGCTGATATCTAACATAGGCTTTCTCTGACCTGATTTCAAAAGTTTGACTGCAAACAATCTGCTAATAGATTTACTCTGCCAGTATTTTATCACCAGAAACTTTCTGTACAATTTAAGGGCTGGATATAGTCTAAGGTGTTTCATATCTGCTTGCATTAAGTCATGTAAACAGCAAAGAGTTGGTTAACAAATTTGCATAAATACTGTTATGCAATTTTTTTTTTCGTCCTGATGAACTAATGCAAACTCCATCTGTCTCACAGAAGGTAAAAATACCAGTTCAGATTTTCTACCTTTCACTTACTATGGATTCCTTCAGGTTGTCATGCAAATCTCATTAAATTCTACTTCACATGAAACAGGCCTCCTTACCATGGTTAGGTTCTGCAACAGCATTTTGATGTCAAACTCAGAGCTCAAGAAACACTATATTTTATAGTGAAAACTTGGAGAACCAAATATCTAGAAGCTGGAAGAGAAAACTAAGTAATTTTCATCCCTACTCTAGCCGAGGTGTTTACATTCATCGTATTGACAGAGCAATCATTATAGTAAACCCAAAGGGATAAGCTGGCATCTGTCCACCTTTGAACATACAGAATTAACAAACTTATTCTGAGTTACTCAACTGAAATATTGAGAATCTCATTTCTATGCCACGTAGTATAACACTTGGAATAACATAGAAAGACCAATCTGAGATTTTGTTAAATATTTAACGGTTGTTATAATCCTTGCAGTTGATAACTACATACCTATCTCAGCAGAAGCACTCACCCGGCAAAAACAGAGCTATGTTAATAGAGGGGGTAAAATCTTAAAACTAGCAGTTTTAACCAGCGGCATATGGACATTATCACAGGAATGTGAAACTTCTACAAGTAAAGGAAGTATTAACATCCAATCATTAAAGGTAATCTCAAACTCCTCACGCATTGCGCTCTGCGTTGTGATCATGAAAGAAATCAACCCAAGGAGACATTTCGCTCTTTTAATCCAGAAAAAATATAAATATGTTAAAAAATAGATACATGTGAACAATGGGGATCACTGGACCAGATATAACACCCATCTGCCCTTCTCTGAAAAACTTCTTTCAAGGCAATTATTCTGCATTAAGCTCTCTATATCCTACAATAATACAAAACCTCAATTGCATACCACCCTATATTATTCCACAATAAAGCTGTTCACATTTTGATAATACCAGAGTCTATTTTTTATAATGTTTAAGCAATGATCAGCCATAGAAATTAAGCACAGTGGAATATTTTGGTTGGTTAAAGTACACACACACATGTCATTACCTGTTAATTTTAGGAAAATGTTTATATCTCATTAGGAAGCTAATAATAAATAACTCTTTCTGCTCCATTTCTCAGGGATAAATAAAATGTAGGTGTGGATTAATGTCCTTAGAACTTCTATTTATCAGAAAAATTACCTTTTGTGGTCCTAAAAATATTTCCTCCAGTAAAATTTCAGTTCCTTCCTTCTAGGTTTAATGGAGACTATAGACCAGGTTTTATGTCTTTCCTTATCAATTTAAGAGTAACAAAACAAGGCAAAAGTACATTTTATGAAAAGTTTAACAGTTTGACACATGGCCAAAAGGAAAATGTTAAGTGTTAAAGAAGTTCTCAAAATACAAGATACTCTCATAGTTAAGGAATAAAAGTTATGATAACTGCTTATTAACATCAGTTACAAGAAAGATAGGAGGTACTGCACTAAACAGGAAATACGACTTTAGAACCAGAAATGAGGGCACAGACATAAAAATATGTCACATTTCCAGCTATACTGAAGGTAATAAAATGAGTTATATTCATGCTGTGCTATAGAACCATCACATAGCATTAAGGATAATGAACTGCCCTCTGCGTATTCAATGGAATGGATTTTAAAAACAGAATATCTTAGTCAGACTTCAACACGTTCTCTAGTTTTCAGGACGGTGTTTTGGAAAGCTGCATGGTGATTACAATGGTATTCCCCAATCAGAACCTGTTCACTTTGCAGACATGTACAAACAGTTTATGGAAAGCATGGTGCTGGGATATGGGGGTATGAAGATGAAAAAGACATGATCACACTTCTCAAGAAGCCTGACTCCACAGGAGAAATTTATTCACTGGGAGAACTTGACTCATTAAATAGGGGTCTAATTTGCAGGGATCAAAAGTTTTATTCAGCTCCTAGCTTTATATTTTTTCCTCCAGAAGTGTAAAGTATTTACACAACTCATTTGGCTTCCTATAGAGCCAGAATTTGCTTAGATGTTTAAGGTATGTCTGACTTTCACAAACTCTCCCATATATATCAACATAAGTGCAGCTGACTCTTGAATAACACAGGTTTAAACTGCATGGGACCACTTACGTGGATTTTTTTCACCAAATACAGTACAATACTGTAAATGTATTTCTCTTCCTTATAATTTTCTTAATAACATTTTCATTTTTGTAGCTTACTTTATTGTAAGAGTATAGCTTATAATACGTATAATATACAAAATATGTGTTAATTGACTGTTCATATTATGGGTGAGGCTTCCAGTCAACAATAGGCTATTAGTAGTTAAGTTTTGGGGAAAGTCAAAGTTCTATGTGGATTTTTGACTTGCAGGGAGGGTTGGCACCTCTAACCCTGTGTTGTTTGAGGGTCAGCTGTAGACAGATGCGTATGCATACATATATACATATATATTTATATCCTACATCGATATCCTATTATGCCTAACCAACAGTAAGTGGAGCCAAATTGGATTACTATGTTTAAAGTTCCTTGGCTATCCTATACATTTTGGTTTTTTCCCATTTATCACTATAACATTCCAGAAACCAACTTCATTTACCATAAAAATTTGGAAATCATTAAGCAGGTAACTTATTATTACAAATAATTATCTTTACTCCATTTAAAAATTAAATAATTCTGTGCATTTTTATTTTCTGAGGACTAGAGTAAGAGAAAGAAAATATAATGAGAATATAAGATATAATTAGAAAATCGTAATAGTAGTACCAAGATCTTAATGCAGAAAGAATGGTTATTTGTATTTGAACTATTGTTGTAGGTAGGAAATAATTTGGTTCTGTATTAAAATTACAACTACTTGTATTGCATCTCAACAAAACTACTGTACCCCAAATTTTAAGTATCTCTGCTAATAACGATGTTACCTTTCATAATTAAAAAATGTTCTAAATATGTCATTTTTGTTTGCTTTCTGTATGAAAGAATGGCAAGCATTAAGTATGCAACTGTATGATATACCAAAATTAATCTAAGGTTTTATTGCTGACATCACAGTGAAACACTCAAATAGCTCTATAAACTAGGGTATTTTCCAAATAAATAGCATACCTGTTTAAACTGAAATATGAACATATGCATTTATTTTCACAAGTCAAGTTTTTCTAACTGAAATCACTGAAAATTCATAGTTTTATGTTAAACAGATATTAAGCCAAGAACACTAAATAAATTTTCCCCTCCAGTGCTGCAGCAAATCACTATTAATACTATTGCCTGTTAACATGAAGCAAAACAGATGTTTTTCTCTACAACTGTATTCTGAATATAAGCAGACAAATGCATATTATAGTTTTAATAAGCTTAAATACAAGTCAACTTTCATGCTTTGTCAAACTTTCCAGCAATTCCTAAAATGTCAATACTCTGGAAAGCAAGTTTTATTTTATCTAGTAGTTAAATATTATCTGTTATTTGGGGCCTCCCTCGCTATAAATTTAATGGAATGACCAAAACTTCACAAATGTAGTAATGTTGTGCTACTATAATATATGAAACTTCTCAGCTTATTTAGCTCCTCCTCCTCTTTCTGAATAAATTTGTTTGCACATATAAAAGCTCATGTCACCAAATTTATTAAAGTCTGTGGTGTGTTGGAAAGAGCGTTTGATCTGGAATTACATTATTTCCAGGCCTATCTCTACAGCCCTTACTAATACTTAACTGCCACAGTGCCTTGGTCACATCATCTATAAAATGCTCACTGCTGCTCTGCCTCACCACGTTTTTGTGAATACCAAATAAGACTGCGTAAGGAAAAAGCCAGTCAGATATAAAGGAAACGAACTTGCACCCTGTCTCTGCACCTAACAAAATAAACTAACCACTTGAACCTGGCCTCTTCTTAGACCCAGTAGAAAGGTATCAGCCGCAAAATTGTGTGGATTCCAGCTAATGCTCAGGATGCCTCTTACTTAAAAATAAAAATAAAATCAAAACCCACTTCTTGTCCTTCCACCCTATGTCCTAACTCTCTCAGGAAATGTAATTTTTAAGTTACCCTATACTTGATCTCTCATATGGGTGCCCAATGTAGAGTGCCTTTCTGCATGGTTCTCGAAGTTTCATCCAGGGCCAGCAGCTGTAGGACCATCCCGGAGAACTTGTTAGAAATGCAGATTATTGACCCCACCCAAATCTACCACCGAATCGGGATTCGGGCGCGGGGCCCAGCTGTGTGAGTTCGAACCCGTCCTCCAGGTGATTCTGATGCCCACCCAAGGCTGAGGATCAGCGCGGGGCGTCCCATCTGTACCCACCAATACAGACGCCCAAGGCACCTTTTTATGACTCGAAGTTGACTTTCACTGGGCTCCGTAACAAAACACCACGCAATCCCTCCTGAGCCGAGAGCCCCGAATCCATAGATAAGACTGAGAGGAAACCCAGAAACTTCCTACGACCCCTCAGCATCCTCTCAGGCAGCGGCCAGAGCTCCGGGACCTGCCTCGAAGGGCCCCATCCCTGCCCAGCGGGAGGCGCCGGGCGCAGATCCGCGCGCGCACCACGCGGGCCGGCTCCTCCCTCCGCCGCGGTTACCTGCACCAGCGTCATCTGCGAGCCGAGCGCCAGGAGGATCTTCTCGGTCTTGGTGGGGTACGGGTTGTCACGGTGCTTGTAAAGCCACTGCTTGAGGGGCCGCGCCATGTCTTGCAGAGCCTGCCGCTTGTGCCTCACCTTCCCGCCGTTCTGCCTGGCCCTGGACACCGGGAGAGGAGGAGACCCCGGTGAGCTGCGCGGCCGGGCCGCCGCCCCCGGGACCCCCTGCGACTGGGGACCTTTGCGCCCGCAGCCCCGCGCCCCACCCCCCCGGGAAGGGCCGCCGCGCCCGCGTCCGGCTGCGCAGGACTTCCGGCTCGGACGCACTAGCCCGCCCCACGCCTCCAGGCTGAGGTGAGGCAAGGGCCCGGGCCACACGAGTTCTGAGCGCGAATAGCCTTCCCCGGGCATCTCTCTTTGAAATGGCCCGGTTGTCGCAGGGGGTCATGTGGCAGTAGCCAGGGGTTAGAGGTTTAAGTGACGACGGTGATGTGATCTGAGGGGAAATGCGATTCAGGGTATATAGTTCGGCGCAGCAGGGCTGCCGCCCTCTCCACGCCCGCCCGCACCCGCGCTCTTGAGCGGCTCTGGCTTCCTGGGCAGGGTCAGGCTGCCGCCAGCTCTCGAACGTTCTTTTAGGGAACTCGTGCGTGCCGCTTGGGGTTTCCCTTCGCCCGTGGTCTAAGGAAAGGTCGCCCACCGGACGTCGGGCATAAAACAAGGGATGATGGCCGTCCCGCCGCCCTGGTTCTTTCTCTCGGAGCTATTTCCTTTGATCCTCTGGAAAAAGGGGAACTTTCCAAGCAAGTGTTTGTGGAGTAAGGACGCAGAACCTTAAAAGAAAAAACCCACTCTAGCGGCCTTTTCCCGACCGAAGGAGAGTTTTAAAAGTGTGGAAAACTCCGTCGGTGAGGAAAAGCACCCTCAAAGGGGGAAGGGGTCCAAGTAGCCTGGAGCCGGACGCTACGCGCTGCGCTCCCGGGCGGCTCCGGGAGGTGTCGCCGCGCGGCCGCCCGCGCGCCCCGCCACTCCGGGAGGCTCACGCGCCTGCGCCGCAGCCTCCAGGACTTTTGCCTCTTTAAACACTTTGAAATGCAACTCCATCCGAAAGGACTGGTAGTAACATTTTGACGAAACCTAATCTCTATTTTACTAACCAACAACGCCGCAGAACAAGCAGCTGATGCAATCGCTCAGGTGGAGACGGCCAAGGACGGCCGCCCCTCCCCCCGCGGGGCGCTCAGGGAGCCGCCGCGACGCCTCTGCAGCGGGAGCTGCTGGCCCACCCGCGCGTTCTCGCTCCCCAGCAGCCCCTCACCCGGCTAAACCGAAACCCGGCCCGGGATACCCGCGGCCTCCCCCTCCGGGCTCGCAGCGGGCCCAGCCGAGCCGCGCGCGCGCGCGCGCGCGCGTCCAGGGCGCCCTGCGAAGAACCGACCTTGCCAACACCTTGGCGCGGGAGGTTCGAGGCCATGGCGAGGCCCTGTCGTGACATAAGAGGGGAAGCCCACGGGGCTGGCCTGACCTGGGAAGCCCCGACTGCTTGCCCTGCCCCGTTCCTAGGCATCCCGCTCAGTCCTTTGGGCCGCGCGTCTGCACCCGTGCTCCGGGGAGGGGCAGGTAGCCCCCTGTCCTGAGGTCCAACTATCAGGGGACTGAGGGGCCGTTCCAGGCGTCCTCAGTTTCCAGCAAGCCTCTTTTGAGCTGTCCTGATGAGCCGATTCCCCTATATTTTGAGAAACTAATGCCTTAAAAGGACAATGCGCGAGACCAGGGGCGGAGACCTGCCCTCCCGGGAACTCTGGGCCCCTAACCCACGGGCCCGGGGGGCCACTTGCACGCCTGCGCCGCACCGCTCCCACCCGTCCGGGCTGCAGGCGGGCAGGGGTCCCGGGAAGGTGAGCGTACCCTGTTCTCCGGTGTCTCAGGCCGAGGTTGTCCTTGAGGGGCGGGCCGTCCGGAATGCCCACCTCAGGGCGGGCGTGGGTACTGTCCAGGACGCCACCATAGGGCCGGCTGCCCCGTTCCCGTTCCGGAGCGCCGCGGTCCTCAAAAAGCACGGCGCCGCTGAGCTTGTTGAAGACGATGGTGTTCATGGTGCCGGCTGGCTGGGGCTCGCCGCGCGGCCGCAGCGCCTCGAGGCCTGGCCGCCGGGAGCTCCGCAGGGCTCGGGTTCTAGGAGAAAATGATGCATTACGTTACTCGCTCAACGCTCACATCTCCATAGGTCCTGAGCCCCGGACTTGGCCAAGGCTCTGGGCTGGGGAGCCGAGGGGAGCAGCGACACCAGTGCACCTGGACACTGGAACACTTGCCTCTCCCCACCTGATTACCCCCCCCCCCCGCCCCCGTCCCCGCACGCTCCCGGGACAGGTCCCTACCCTCCTCCTTGCCCTGGCGATCGAGTTCCCAAGGAACCTCAACCAAGAATTTACCTGCGTGGGCAAAGGAAAGTAATTCCTAAACGAGTTCTTTTCTTGGTTTAAATCTGGAAGTACTGCACTCGGGTTAGCGGAGCGGGATAGGCGCGGAGGGCGTGGGGGGGGGGGTTGTTCTTCAGTCACAACGGAAGTCTAAGCATCTCCGAGCTCCCACTCGGGTTTTAAGGAGGGGTGGGAAGGAAGGGAAATTTGGGGGCAATATGAACAACTGCATCTGCAAGTCCCGTTAATGAGTCCCAGGCCACACCGGGATTCCTGGGATTTTCATGTTTTCTAGATTCTGGATGGTTTGGCTGAAACCCCGTGCGTTCTAACTCCGGTTAAGGTCCCTGGGGGTAGGGGTGAGGGCAGGGAAAGTTAGCTGACTCCGGAGCTAGAAAGTTAGGTGGCGTCAGGGACAAACGCACACTATCTCCCTCCCCCGGAGTCTTCTACCATCCCCCAGCCCGCTCCAGGATGCGCTGGGTCCGGGCAGGTCAAAGGAGCCGGAGTCCCGGGCCTCCCGGGGCCCACTGTTAGTGCTGTCCTCTTCCAAAACGCGGGTGTGAGCCTTAGCTCGGAGCCCTTTCTCACCCGCCCCTTTCTGGGGTGTCGGGGAACCATTTGAGGTTGCATAGGTGTTAGTAGCGGAAGGAGGCATCACGGTCCGCGCACCACCGAGCCTGCGGCTGCCATCCTTTTACAAAGCTTTTCAGCTCACCTCCCGGGTCGCGGCGGCCGGGAGCCTCAGGCCGCAGAGCGTGGGCCTCAGGTTCAAGTCCGCACCGCCGCAGAGCAGTCGAGTTACCGCCCCCCATCACCCCGCCTCGTGCCTCGGGGTAGCTCCAGTTTCTTCCCCGCCGCCTCCGCCCTGCTGCCAGCGCCCCCTCACCCCGCCCCGCCCCGGCGCAGGCTGCCACACTAACACGTACAGATCTTCTGCCTCGAAGAGCGCCCACACTTGCCAACGCCCCCTGCCCCGCCCTCCAGCCACCGCAGCAGCTGCCACGCGCGACATTTAGGGCCGTGACCATAGCGATTAAGCGACAGGTACCGTCAGTATTCGTGGGGAGGTGAAGTCAGACTTCTGCTGGCTGCCCCGTGTGCCGTAAGGCTGAGTCCTCCCACGGAGACAGGTACGTGTCTGTAGTGTGCACACAGCCTCGGCGAAAAGTGTCAAAGCAAATTTCCGTGCTCGAAGCCCCTGTTCTAAGGTCAGGACTAGCCTTGGTTCTTTTTTTTTTTTTTTTTTTTTTTTTTTTAAATCAGTGCGCTTAGTGCTTTGCGTTCATGCTGCATTATTTGTAAAACACACCCTTTTAAAGTCCCACAGTGTTTCCCCACCCCAGTCCGGTCCTCCCATATTCAAGGGCGAGTTTTTCTTAGCGACTCCGCTGAAAGGTGCCTTCCCGGTTGTCCCAAGCCCACACAGAGACCGCAACCACAGACACCCGGCGCGATCTGAGTCTGCAGGCATGCCGCAGGGGAGGTGGGAGAGGGCTGCAGAGGTCCGAGAGCTGAGTCCTGACCGGAAGGGGTGGGGGGGTGCGTGTGAAGCGCTGTTCCTGGCCCTCATCCGGGGCCCAGGCGCACTCCCCAGCGCTTCTTATCTGCTCCTGTACTTCCCACTTACCCTTACCCTGTCTCGCTCCAAACTGTCGCTTGGGGAGTTCCCTCCCTGCGGAACTACCCCGCCCAACGCCCGCGAACAATTTTAAAGCCAAGGAGGAGCAGCCAGGTGGGCTCCCAAGCTCCTCGCAGACCCTCGGGCCAGCCTCGGCCACCACCGGGGCGCGTGCCCACTGGACCTTGGAGGGGGGTGGGGGAAGGGCGGGGAGAGCGCCGAGGACAGAGGGAACCAGCCGCTCGGGAGCCAGAGCCAGGTCTTGCATCCCGAGGCCCGGAGCAGGGACGCCGAGACCCGAGGGCTGTACCTGTGGTGGTGGGGCCGGCGGCCGGCGGCAGGGCGGCTGGCTCTCCCGCGTCGAGGCTAGGCGCACTCCCATCCCCGCCGCATGTTTTCGGCGCGGGCTCCAGCGCGCTCACCGCAGCCACCGCCGTCGTCTCGGCTTTATTTACCCAGACGGGCGCGCGCGGCCCGGGAACAGGAATACCGAGGCCTTCTCATGTTTCTTGACTGCCCGGCCCAGCCGGCGAACATCCTGCGGGCGCGGTATCCACGTTCCCGGGCCGGCGAGAGGAAGCCTCAGCACCCTCCCGGCCGCGGGGACTTCTGTTAACCCTCGCAGACGAGCCGCCGCTGCTAGCGCCGCTGGGGAGCCCCCGGCCAGACCCCGGCCCGCCGAGGCCTCCCCAGCGGGGCCCGGCCTCAGATCCGCCGGCCTCGCAGGCGCAGAGCAAAAGCGGTTATTTCCTTCGCACTTAGGGGAGAAATCCGAGAAGCCGCAAGTAGCGCCCGGCTCCGGCTCTGGGAGCTGAGAAGCTGCGGTGCAAATCCCGCGTCTTAGCTGGCCCGAGAGCCGGAAATTCAACACAGCGGCTAAGCACGAGAGAGCATTGCGACGCTCCCTTTATTTTCCTCGCGATTAGAGGGAGTGAAGTTAGAGCTCGGGTTTGTGCCTATAACGCGCGAGCACAGTACAGGAGATGCTTGCATCCCGGGAGCTTCTTTTCTGGTGTCCCCGGGCTTCTGAGGTCCCGGCTGTCTCAAATCCAGGGACACGTTCGCCGGCCGCGGCCAGCGCTGGAGAGGCTGCGCTTGCCGCGGGTCAAAAGGGTGGTGGGAGGCAAGGCTGGGGCAGGGCGAGCCCAGGTGCCCAACCCACTGTGACCCAGGTAGGGAAGAGAAGGCGAGCCCTGGGCCAGGAAGCTGCATGGATTAAGGAGGATGGAACTTGGAAGAATCCTGAGCTGGGACACAGTGCAAGGAGAGAGAGTGCCTCTCAGATTCTCTTACTGATGATCGTTCCCTTTCCACCGTCACCCCAAAGAGGAGAGTAGCGAAAGCTGTGATTTAGGTGCAAGTGGAAGCTCAGTGCTCCTGGCAGCCTTGGAGATCCTCAAGGAGCCGAGCACCAAGCCGCCCGCGTTTTTGCCGTGGGCCTTGTCGCCGCAGCGACACCTTCATCTTTTTATAAGAGCGAAAGTAGATTTTCCCAAACCTGAAAGTTATGGCATCATTTGTTCTTTTCTCCTTCAAGGTGGCTGGCCAGCTCGGAGGCCGGGACCCACCTAAGCATCTTCCTTTTATGTGGCCTGGAAGTGGTTAAATATTTACATATATTAAAGCTATTATTTCCAAGACTAATCACACCTTCGAATTTTTCCATTATGTTATCTCCCAAAATGCGCGACGGTAAACTGGGCAGTGGCACAATCTAAAACAGAAAAGGGCGAAGGTTTAAGTTTTTGCGCATTAGGCAGATAAATATCATTTGAACACATTTCCCAATATCCTTGTTTTTCTTTATGGTATAATTTGCTGTTGGAGCATTTGCATTTTGTCATTGGCGCTACACTTGACTTGCTTTAGTGTGAATTCAACATACACATCGGTCTACAGTCCTCGCTGTGGGATTTAAAGTCAGGGATACATCATAAAGTCTGAGCCACAGACTTGCAGCCACTAAGTTTCACAACAAGTGATAATTGATAATTCAGGGGAAGAAAGACGGATGGTCTCTATAACTGATGGTAGTCACCAGACATTATAATGAAATCAGCTGTAAAACGCCCCTCTGACATATATTTTGATCAGCTGTGTTGGATAAAACCTACAGGCATGTAAGTAGTTGCTTGCAATTTCCTAGTACAATACTGACTCATGGAGCAGTATGCTATAATAGAAGCTAGTCTAGGACTGCATTTACACAATTTTAAAGAACATTTTAAATTTTAAAAGAGCTTTTAAATTTTAAAAGCTTACCTGCATTTACACAATTTTAAAGAGCATTTGGGGATCTCTGACTTAAGATATATTTACATGTAAGATTTGTTTTCTTGAAATCTGATATAAAATACACAGCAAAAAAACTTTCTGTAAAACTTTTTAAAAATTTGATATAAGAATAATATACAGCTTAGTTTTAAGTCACTGAAAAAGTAATGCTGAATTACTTTATAGTTTATTAAAATCCATTTTAAAATAAAAAAAACAGTGAAGGGTTAATTTTAAAATGAAGTAATATGGAGAATCCCTATGTAATATACAAATGGGCATGTATTTTGTGATAGACCAAAATTTTATTTTTCCAAGTTTCATCCTCTGCAAGAGTGAAGTTTCTTCTTTATTTTAATCCACAGTTCAGACACAGTTATCATTATCTTAAATTTCACCTTTTCTGAAGATAAATTTTACTGAGCTTCTAATGTTATATTCTAATCTCAGTATGTGAAATGCTATATTATAATCCTCAGAAATAAACCTTGAAGTTTTAGAAAACTTATCAGAAGATTTAAGAGAGTGTGTAGTTTGTGGGATATAGCCATCTGCAGGGAAAAGAAAAAATAGCTATAGGCCAGAAGTCAGAAAATTTGAGTCCTAATCTGAATTCTGGTTTATTTGATCTTGGTTTAGCCTGAATTTACTCAACTATCAAATGAAGATATTAAGTTTTCCACAAATTTGCCATATGCTATTATTAAGATTTTTTTTTAATGTGAAAGTAACGTGTTGCTGTTGCTAAAGCTAGAAAAATGTTAAGTAAAAACATTTG